CTGTGATTCTATGATTCTATGCTCCCTGCTCGGGGGGCAGGAGACTTTGCCCAAGACCATCCAGGGTGGCAGGGGACATTCACCCAAGGCCACGGGGGTGGCCAGGATGCAGTGCGGGACCCACCTGCACACTTGGTGCGGCTGATGAGGGGCGGCCCAGGTTTGCCGGTGCCTCCCTCGCCGGGCCGGGTGAGCAGAACACTGATCTCGTACTCCGTGTCTGGATCCAGGTGCCAGAGCTTGTAGGTCTGCATGTTGACAGCGTGGACCTCTGACCAGGGCCCCGAGGTCATGCGGTACTCGATCTCCTTGCGCACGATGGGGCCGTCGCCGATGATGGAGTTGGTGTTGAGCTGGATGATGAGGTAGGTGGAGCCGGCCCGAAGCAGCTGGGGGGGTGCGATGGGTGTGGGGGGCTCTGGAAGAGAGTGGAAAAGAGGCAGGTGGAGCATCTCCCTCTGGAAGCAGCTCCACAGCATCCCCAGCCCTGGAGCCAGGCCAACACCAGCACAACCACAGGTACCACTACTGATATATACATGTACTGGTGGTTTTTTACCAGCTACAGCTGAGACATTCTCAACAGCTCTTCCCAAACAAACCCGTCACCTTCACACTGCAAAGCATGGGACAAACGTGGACCCCTCACCCACAGGACATGGGGGTCAACCCTAAAATATGGGAGGGCACCACCCAGTCTTTAAACCTCCACCCGCGCACATGCCCTGCCTCGCTTTTAGTGAGGCTTTAACATCTGCAACAGCGTTTCATGTGATCAAACCTTAATTATCTTTATAAGATACGCTGCCCAGTGTGGTGCTGCACAGTTTCACCATAATTAATTAATTCCCACCTACTGCAATCAAAAATAAACGATCTAAGGCCACCAGGAAAGGTAGTTTCCTTGTTTTATGTTGAACCATGTGTAGTGACTCATTCCCAGCAAAAAACTGCCACCCCAGCATCCTGAGCATCCCACCACCCGGAGCATCTCACCTTCCTCTTCCTCTGCAAAGAGGGGAGCAGAAACAGCCCGTCCATGACCCAGAAACCTGTCGGACAACAGCATGTCACCCACCTTTCACGATGAGCTCGGCGAAGTTGGAGACACCTGAGCCGCGGCTGGACTGCGTGACGCAGCGGTACAGGTCCTGCTCCTCCTTGGACACTTCGTCCAGCTGGAAGGTGGCCAGGAAGCGTCGGTGGCTGATGTGCTTCACGGAGGCGGCGGGGACCACCTCGCCGTTCTGCCTCTGCCCCACGGGGAGAGACAAGATGTTACCAGGAGGCACGACATGACACCCAGAGCCACCAGAATGATGTCTGCCTAAAAGGCGGGGGTGGATTGTCCTCCTCCCCCCTGCCCCAATGCACGGGGTTGGCGGTGGAGATGCTGGTTTCACCCCACCGCTGCTCACCTGCATGAGGAACCGCTCAGCCTCGGCAGCCTTGCCGGCAGCCACGCACTGGAAGGTGGCATTCTGCCCCGCGTTGACCTCCACGTCGCCCAGGCGGGAGAAATGAGGTGCTTTTGCTGCCGAGGGACGCAAGCGAGAGGTGACGAAGAGACCAAGCTCCAAGGGGACCCACAGCAGCATTGCTGCAAAAATCCCGCCACAGCCCAAAAACCCACCCAGCAGGCCAGGGCTAGAGCCGAGCTCCGGGTGGGCTGGATCTCCATCCTCACAGCCCAGCTCAGAGCCAGGAACTCGGTCCAATCCCTGTACAACCAATGTCCCAGGCAGGGATGCAGCTTTCTGCTCCAGCATGCCACAGCGCTGTCGCCAGATGCAGGCTATGGAGTTGGTAGAGGGGAGCATGTCTCCTACCTGAGTCTCAAGAAATTGGGGCGAATCCCAACAGCCAACGTGTTGGGACAGGTCCCCATCAGCCCGAGTGGCCCACCTCAATGGGGGTGCCCAGACCACATGTTCAGTCTGCGACCTCCAAGGCTTTATAAAAACTCGGTGATGGAGAGGGAAAAAGGAGCCCAGAGGTACCCAGGAGACAGGGCTCCACAACCCATGTGACCACAAGACACCAGGCTGCACCTCAGCATTGGGCCATCAGCTCCCCCCAGGATCATCCCACTGGCCACCAGCCCCAAACCCTGCAGCCCACCCCAGCTCAGCAGCACCCACTCCCCCATCCACCACCAAGCACCCTCGGGTCCCACCCCGTGACACTCACAGCACGGATAATTCAAGAGCAAAATGTCATCCAGACCAAGGTAGCCCCTGCGCTCGCTGGAGATCACCGCCTCGAAGAGGACCTACGGCACCAAACAGGAGGGTCACCCATTGCCAGGGCGGGTCTGGGTCATGCACAGGGGGTCTGCTGGGGCTCACCTGGTACTCGCTGGGCCAGAACAAGCTGACGGCCAACTCTGCCTGGTGCCACTGGCGGCCGTGGGAGCCGGAGGTGTTCCAGACGGCGCTGCCCACCGGGCCCCCAGTCACCCGGACGTAGGCACTCAGGGTGCCAGGGCTGTGGCCATCCCGGCTGTACATGAAGTAGCTGAACTGGAGGCAGTGGGTGTCATTCTCACTCAGTGCCTGGAAAAGCAGGTGAGCTTTCTGGCCTGGGGCGTGCTGCGAGGAGTTCACCATCAGGTAGGAGCCTACGACAGGACAGAGAAGGGGGAAGAGCATGGAGTAATCCCCCCGCTCCTCATCTCCTGAGTTCTGCCAGCAGGGATGGGGAAGGTGGAGGATGCAGGACTGTGAAGATGCACATGACCGGGCAATGATGCTCATGTCCCACTGGGTACCAGCCCATGGGGACATGCGGGACAGGAGCAGGGGACCCACAATGGAGTCAGCATCGGATGCCCGTTTGGGCAGCAGCAGGACGCCGGAAGGGGACCTGGGCGAGGAGAGGAGGATCAGACCCACTGCCTCCAGAATAATCTGGTACCCCTGAGACGCTGGGGCAGGTAACAGCTTCGATGCCACAAGAGACCCTCCACCTCTTTCCTTTAACGCTCACAGCTTCGCTGCATCCGTGCTGCCCTCCTCAGCCTGGCCCCAGCCGGTTCATTTCCATTCCCGTCGCCTCCTATCATTTACCACACCGTTGTCTCATTTACCACGCAGTTGTAGCCAAGTTTAAACTGTGCTCAGCAGGCACTCCTTGGGGGCTGGGCAGGGGAAGCGCTCGTCAGCTTAACGAGCACGGGCACCAGCACCGCAGCTCTCCGGGATGCTGGCCCCAGACCCAGCTCCTCACCTGCCCCACCACCAGCAGCCACCGATACCCCACCTCCCATCACCCAGAATCACCAGCAATGAAACCAGGAGTCCTGACACTTGTCCCAGTGCTACCCCAAAGCCATGCTTACAAGGCAGGCAGGATGAAAATCCTAAAGGGGATCCCAGAGGCAGCATCCTGCCCTGTCCCACATGCTCCATCCTGAACAGTCTAGAGGCAGGAAGGGGATGCAGGAATCCCAGCTCTTTGCCAGAACCACCCAGCATGGCCATGGCACCGTGACATCAGGCAGATGGGAATCCGCCCTACCAAACCCCATCCCCCCCCAATACCAAAGGCAAGAAGATTATTAATATCCCTTCCAGTATAATGGCAGAAGCTGTAAGTAACAGAGCTGGGCCATTTATTCAAGTCCACCATTGTTTTCCTGACAGTAGGCGCTTAATAATTAATAGCTTTCACCGCCAGTTAATTTAAACGAATTCACGCGCTTCCCTCCCTTCAGCTCCCAGTGAAGAGCGCTGAGAAAATCCTAATGAAGGCAGTGGGGGATCGTGAGGGGCACCCATCCTTCTCACCCAGTCCTTGGGAGTTGTGCCTGGCTGGGGTCACCCCAGAATGCCTGGGGGTGACCCCAAAATATCCAGGGGTCACAGCATTGGCTGAGGAGATACAGTGCTGGGTATCATCCAGGGTGTCCTTCAGGGACAGGAGCCAGGACCAGGGAATGAAATCACCAAAAGCAAAATTTTGGGCAGGGACACCTTGCACTAGACCAGGTCGCTCCAAGACTCATCCAGCCTGGCTTTGGTCCAGGGATGGGATGGGGAATCCACAGCTCCTCTGGGCAACCTGTCCCAGTGCTCCCCACCCTCTCTGATGTCCCGTCTCCATCTCCCTCTTTCTATTTAACCCGTTACCCCTTGTCCTGTCACTGCAAACAAAATAGTAAGTTTGTTTTCTCAGTCAAGCACAGCTGCATCTCACAGACCAAGGGGAAGGCACTATGTCCATATTCCTTCCCCCCCAGCACAAGCATTTCTCCCCAGGCAGATGAGCTCCGTTTGGGCCAGGCAACAGCTGTGTGGAGAGCAAACGCCAACCATTTAACCTGCCGGAGTGTCACTGACAAACACAGTCTGTGTTCCCCCTTCCTCCTCCCCTCTCTTCAGAAACAAAAAGCCAGCAAACCAAAATAAAGAGACCAAGACTAAAATTAAACCACTGACAAGTTATTTCAGAAGGAGGAGGTTGTCCGTAAGGTGACCTGGGCCCATGGACACGATGGGGTGGCAATCCACCCAGGCATCTCTCCTCTAGCAGGGTTTTCCCCCACACAATTTTCCTCCTTCAATTTTCTTCCCTGTGCTTCTGCATCCGAAAAAGCAGGTTCTCACCTCTCCCTCTTTGTGCTAATTATATCATCCTCCCCCGTGAATGACTGGGCACAGCTTCAGCTTCAAGCCCAGGGTATGGGTTGTTTGATTTTTTTTTTTTAATGCAGGAGAACCAGAGGTCCATGTCACCGTGTTGGGATGCTGCATCCTGCACCGGAGCATCCCCCAGCATGGGGAAGGCCCTGGGGCAGCAGCTCCTCGCAGAGGTGTCAGGGGTTACCAACTCCCTCCACATTCCCGACTCCCTCCACAGCCCCAGGGGTTTGTTTTTTTTTTTTACAGGGAGCGTTTTGAGTTTTCAGTGGGGTTTTATAGGTTTTCTTTAATGCACCCCAACAAAACGGCAGCACAGCCCAATCTGGCTGGTCCCAACACAGGGTGCTCAAGGAGGTGGGTGACAGCCTATACACACACTGCCACCATCCACCCCGTGGGACACAGTCCCACCACAGGTCACCACCTTGCTCATCCCTGGTCTCTCAATCAACCGGGATGCTCCCAGGCAAGGAGCATCAGGTCAAGGGTCGCCCAGACCCCCTTCCACTTGCTCCTTGTTAATCCACGAGCCCCACCAGTGTCCTCCCCGAGCCCCCATCCCACTGGGTGCTCAGATTCCACCAGGTTCCAGCAGCATTCCCAGCCAGGGCAAGAGCAGAGCTGCAGCAAGAGTTAAGCAAATGGCCAAATCCCAGTTTTTAAAGCTCAGCTCAATTCCTGCCAGCAAAGGCAGAGAGGGAGATGGAGAGGAGGGGGTGTCCCAGAGCTGGGGGGAGCCAGGCAAGACTAGTCCCAGCAGCCAGAGGGTTGATGCAGTATTGCAGCTCATCAGCACAACCGGGGTTATTTTTGAGCCCTGTCTGTACATTGGTATTACACAGCAAAAATCTGCTCCAAAAGCCACGGTGGGGAAAACCATTTCCAAACCGCCTACAAAACGGGAGCCACAGAACCAGCCCCAGGCTGAGACTCCAAACCAAAGGACAGGATTCAGGCACACATCAGTGCTGTGCTCCACTCATTAAATCCTTCCTCTGATCCTCAGTGTAAGGTCAGTTTGAACTGAGATGCTGGTCCAGCAGGTTGTGATGCTCCTTCATGACCACAAATACCGAGTCAGCCCCCCCGTGTCCCCCAGCCCAGCTGCAGCAGTATCATTTATTTCAGTTTTCAGGTGGGCTTTAGGGAAGAGCCCAAGTGCTCTGAGGAAAAAAGACTCAAAAGACCTAGATAATATTTCAATCAAACAAATGAAAAAAGAAATAAGTTTCCAGTGACATTCCCTAAGGAAAAACTGCCAATTTGCTACACACAAGTCAACAATGAGGTTTAAGCTGGAAAATCAGCCCAGAGGGGCTGTGCACAGACAGCCCTGCATCCATCCCAGCAAAGCCTTCATGCAGGGCCTCCAGCTGAGTTTTCCCACTTGTGGGATTGTCGGCTCTTCCTTGGAATTGAAATCAGCTCTTCAAGGATCTTGGCACCTCCGATAATCTTGGCCAGGAAATCAGAAAGCAACAAAGTTCCCAAGGATTTTCTCCCCAGCTTGGGGCTGAAGTCCTGCTTGCTTGCAGGGAAGAGGCAGCTCTCCCCATTGTGCCGCCCATTCGCAGGGTCCTGCCTGCGTCACTCTCTGAAAAACCTAAAACAGCTCAGCAAGGGGAGAAGGAAAGCACCACTCCTCAGTCAAAGAGCTGTTACAAGGCAGCAAAAGGCAGGCAGGGTGACAGGCAGAGGGTGGCACCGCCAGCCAAGAGGTACCAAGGGACCCGGCCTGAGTACTGCAGCCTCCAGGAAATCACTTTGAAAGATGAAGCCCAGTGATGCCTCCTCCTGCTCTGGATCTTCTCAAGACATCAGAGTGGGAATCAGGTACCCACTCCCCACTTCCGTGCCGAGCATCTTCCAGGGAGGCCCCATCACCAACATCTGATCTGCCACTGCCACAGAGTCCTTGGACAGACCACAGTAATTCCACCAGGAGACAAAAATCAAACTTAATTTTTCAAGATTTTTAGATGCACAGCTGGAGCTGGTCAGGAAGTGGTGCCAGAGCTAACACCTGATGGAGGGACTCCTCAGAGGGGATGGAGGGACATTGGAGCAGGGACAAACAGGTCAGTCACCGCCCAATACAGCGCAGCATCGCAATGCAGCTGCGCAGAGAGCACGACAGCAGTTCTGTGCATGGAGTGAAGAGCCGAGCAGGAAACAAACTCCAATCCACAGAGGGTTTTCTAATGTCACTGAGTTTGGAAGGAAAACCTTGGGAAAAAAGCCATTTGGGGGAAAAAAAACCACCCACAAATATGTTGGTTTAGTATTTTTAGTACAGCTCTGCTGAGCGGAGGAGCCTGGGTGCTCCAGCCCCAGGACAGGCTACAGAGGGGCAGAAGCAGCCTCCATGGGGCGTTTTGGGCCCAGTTTCTCCCCACTCAACTCACCTCCTTTGAATTTCCACATGAGAATTCAACCAGCCACAAGAGGTGCCTGCACCTCTCCCAGTATGATCCTGGAGCTCCAGAAAGCATCCTTCTCTTGAGAGGCACAGGGCTGAGGACCGGCACCTGACCCTGGCTCTGCCCCGTGCTCCATCCCAGACCTGCCTCAAATTCATACAGGGCTGAACCTAAGCCCACTGGTTTATTTTGATGTCCATTAAATAACCTCAACTTGTGTTTCACCCCAGCAGCTCAAGAAATCAGCCCAATTTCACTTCCCGGTCCCATCCCTGCCTGCTAGACCACCCCACCACTGTGTCCCCGGCTCCTCAAAGGCCTGAGGGATGCAGCCAAATCCTGCGAGCGCTGTGGTACCCAGCAGCGGCAGGTGCTGCAGAGCAAGGCACACACTGTCCCTCCTCTCCCCAGCTTCGAGTCAGCAGGGCTCTATCGCAGAGCCTGAAGGCAGAAGTGGACCAGCCTGGCATGCAGAGGCAACGCCTGGGGGAGAGCAGGAAGACAAGTACACCCCAAGCATCCAGGGAGAGTTATTTTGGTGCAGACACAGCGATGGTGCATTGTCACGCCTGCCTTACCTGCCTGCGACTGCTCCTTTAAAACACAACAATAAAGAGCTGAAAAAAAAAACCCCAAAATCACAATTGCAAGGGACCCACCCGTCGTCTTTAGGAGAACGAGGGAGACAAGTCAAGATGAGAGGAGAGGGGGGAAAAAAAAAAAATCCAAACCAAACAAGAAAGCAAGAAGAAAGAGGGATGCAAAGGTGGAGGCGGGTGGCCAGCAGCCAGCATCCGCTCCAATAAATCCTACGCTCCTTGAAACTGGCTGATCTCCAATAAAAACTCATTTTAATCTAAGACCACGAGACTCCTTTGGAAAGTGCTCCCTGGAGAGGCCCCGGTGCCGTGAAATACTCTTGATCCACTGAGCTGCTGCAGGGGCTGAAAGGGGTGAAAAGGCTGCAGGAGCCTCATGTGCAGCTCCCTACACACACCGGGGTAAAACTACACGAAAATGGGGCCCCTGCACCCGCTGGGTGCCTCAAGGCTGTGAGCAAACAGCATCTACCCGTTATTAGGGGAGCCCCCGGCTACAGGGACGAGTATCCCTTTGGGTGTCACCATTGATCAGCATCAGGGACAGATGCTCTTCCTGGGGGCCGGACCCTGCGATGCTCCATGCTCACAGCTCACCCTCACAGCATCCCACCTGGAATGGTTATACCCACTTCCCCATCAACTCCGGAGTTTAAGAAACTCTTTGCATTGATGTAAGCCCCCATCCCTTGCTAACCGGCAGTTATTTCCTCAAGCAGAGAGAGCAGCCCCATTCCACCTGGCCCCTTTAGCCCCCCGCAAGCCCCCAGGCTTTAAACTCAAGCAGTTTGCTGCAGATTTTTAATTACCATTCAGAAAACTCAACTAATTACAGGTTTAAGACCCTCCATGATGAGCCACCTCAATCCTCAGCTCTGCTTCCCTCCTCCCTGCCCCAGGGAAACCCACCCAGGACACACACAAATTAGGACAGTTCAGTTTAAAGCAATTACTTGTAAAGTCATCAAGGAGGCACAGGGATCTGTCACCAGTCCTACAGGCAGGCCAAGGGTTATTCTGCCCTCGCCCAGTGCCCAGGACATGCCAGCAGGGATGGGAAAGGAAGGAAAAGGCGATGGGAGGAAGAGAAGGTAAAGGAAGAGGAGGGTTAGCGGAGGGGAAAAGCCAAATTAAGTCCTGGCATGAACAAGGCATGGGATAAACAGCCGGAGAAAGATTGATGGAGCAGTAAAGAGTTTTCTATAAAGAAGTTAATGTTTTAATAAAACCAGTCATTTTTACTATGGAGCTCTAAACCAGCTCTCCTCTTTCTGCCCAGTTCTCCTCTTTCTGCCCATCTTCAGCATGGGACTTGGCCTCCAGGCTGGGCAGGAGGAGCCAGCAGCCCCAAAAACCAGGAGCATCTCAAGCCTAGTGCAGCTCCCAGAGTTAACGGGGACAGGGACAGCTCAAGGGACACAGCAGGACACAGCCCTGAGCTGGGAGTGAGCAGACCCCTGAATGCCACTCAGGCACAGTGCCCACGCCATCCCCATGGGAGAGGGGGAGCTCCCTGCAGCTGCCCAGCTGGCTCTGCTCCCCCAGCCTGGCCAGCGGAGCGAGGAGCTGGACCCAGAAAACAACAAAAAGTGCTTTAAAAGCAATGAGATTTTTAAAAAGAGAAGAACGTCCACTTGTATTTTCTTCCTTACAGTTCCCGACACTTTGGGAATGCCTTCAGCTCACAACCACCAGTCCTTCCCCACATCTGAAACAGCCAGAAACACATTTTTTCCCCTTTTCTTCATCTCCCGGAGATGGGCATTTCTCACAAGACCCCAGACCTGCATAAGCAGCACGAGCCCACACGGCAGCAAGGAAAGAGCAGGCGGTGGCTGCAGATTCTGGGCAGGGGGAGCCGCTCCAAAGGTGCCCCTTCACAACGGGATCTGGGTGCATCCCGGCCGGCAGCAGCCGCAGATGCCATGCTCAGTGCCAGATGGGGAATTTGGCATTGCCCGAGATGCTGCCGAGACCTGCGGGGAGGGTGGA